CATCGTGCGCACACACATAATTGCTAGTGTGTGCCATCTTGGGCCAACAAATGATTCGCGCACATTGAACGATTGCAGTGACTACTAAATCAACTGGCTTAGACTGATGACGTTTAGCCGATTTTATACGTTCTGTAGCTGATTGTTTCCAAAGCCTAACCTACTATCACTAAGACAATTATTTTGCCACAGCTTGTTCATACAAGCCTATAGGCTCATGACGCATAATATTGTCATTGCAATCATAATCATTTAACTAATAGCAATATTGCCCGGTTTTCTCAGAGCAATAGTCTTCTTCAGCAAGACGTAAGGAAAAATTACGGCAAGTTCAAAACTTTGTTTACAAGCATAGCGACTTGGAATTCATTGCCTTTTGAATTCAAATCTTCGCACAACGTTCATATTTTCACCGTGCGTAGCAAAAAACATTTTCTTTGGGGATTTATGGACTAATTTTATTTGTATAATTAACTGTTCATAGGCTCAAGCAGTTTTGTGTTAGTATTATATTAACATTTGCCTTTGTACAACTTATGTTGTATAACTAGTTGCATTTGTAATGTACAGTTTTTCAATCTCGCTTTGTTCTAGTTTCATCCACTGCTATTGTATATTTTCATGTGCTTTTTATCAGTAGTATATCATCATGGCATGTAATAATTGCATTGTTACTGCTATTTAGGCTCCTTAGTCATTGCTCACAAATTCGCACGTTCTGTGTAATTTGTTTTTTTTTTTGTAACTACCTCATTCCAGTCGCCTAGGAGGTCCTTCTGTAAGCTTCTCTGAAACATTGGGACTTCCTTCTGTTCTATTCCACTCATGTAACCAACCTCAAACATGTAATAAACTTGGCTTGACAATACTTGAAATAATGATTCAGCATTTCCAAACCATACCCTAATACGCAACAATGACGCCATAGCCCCAACAGTCTGCAATGCATTTACTCAAGTTCCCCCGTGGGATAATGCGGGCGTCAGTTTTAGGAACAAAGCTTCTTAAGCAACGGGTTGGGCGTCCGCGATGTAAGTAGTAGTAGTCGTCGTCGTCATCGTAATGGTAGGTAGCCACCTCTTGTGCTGCCCTTGGAATGTCGGCTGGATGACGGTACTTTTATATGATGAATAATTGATGAAAAGATACAATAAGGTGGTACACGGATTGTGCACTAGATAAATGAACGGACGCACGTACGGACGCACGGAGGGGCAGACAGACAGGCAGATGAACCCATGGACGGACACATTAATGGACGCACAGACAGACGCACGGCTGCATGAACGCATGAACAAACAAACGCATGGCCAGACGGACGCATGCACGAACGAACGAAGGTACGGACAGACGGACGCTTGACCACACGGACAGACGGAAGGTCACACGAACGCGGATGCACGGATGGCCGCACGGACAAACGGAAGCAAAAACGAATGAACGAACAGAAGCGCGGATGGACTGATGGACGCTTCACCCCACTCATTGTCATTACCTCGGTGAATAAACTGTGATTTTTTGGCGAAGCTTCTGATAGCATGAGTTAGTGCATTTTACCAAGGTTAAACTAAAACTTAACCTCCTTAATATCTTCTGTATGGGGTAGCCTCCTCTCTTTTTTGTTCTTGGAATATCCGCTGTATGGCGGTACTTGCTAATTGTGAAAATATCACGGATAGATGTGAAATGAAGGTACTTGGAGCGTTCACCTGTTTTACAGATGAACGGATGGACAGACATACAGACAGTACATGCGCACAGACACCCAGACAAACGGACAGACACATGGACCGGTGTACAGACGGACGGACAGATGAACAGACATACATACAGACAGACGGAGGGACGGACGGATGGACAGACAGACAGACAACAGACAGACAGACAGACAGACAGACAGACAGACAGACAGACAGACAGACAGATGGATATGCACATGGACGTACGTACGCACGAAAGAAGGCTCGCCCCATTGATCATCATTCACTCCGCAAATATGCCTAGAATTTTTTTATTTCGCCTAGCCATAGAGAGCTTTGGCTGTAATAAAGTAACTGATTGGGCTTGTCGGTGATGAACTGAAACATTTTTTAAGAATCGTAGGCAATTTGAGTCTGTCTATCTATCTATCTATCTATCTATCTATCTATCTATCTATCTATCTATCTATCTATCTATCTATCTATCTATCTATCGCCTCTTTCTTGGGGCTCTCGTGGTCACCTTCTTATTTAGGGTTATACGAAATAATGTGGAAGGATAAGATGGTTTTGTATCAATATAGCAATTATAGCCGGCTGCGAATCACTCCACGCATACAGTATTAGTATACTTCCCTATTACGTATCACCACGCATACTCTATACTCTCTTGAACATTCTATTCCTTATACTTTCTAATACAAGCCATGAATGAATCAACGTGTCTTTTTTTTTCCTTCGCGGAACTGGCCCATTTTCCGTAGATGCTCAATGATCGAAACACTGGTTTAAAAAGTGGTTTTGCGAGCCAGCCATAGTTAACCAAGTGAACATATCTTAACTTAACTACTGACGCCAGCCACAAAAGCCCTGTTAATAAATTTTTGAACCTGCCCTAGTAACTCCGCCTAGTGGTTGACACAAATAGAAACTGGTGGCTGATGAAACAGAAGTTTGGGCTGTTTGTAACTGCGTCATCGCCGCAGAAGAAAACTCACAGAGGACCCGCGAAGACAGCCCTCCTCGTGGGCTTGTTCAGTGACGACAGTTTGGAATTATTTAACAACATTAACTTCGGGGAAGGCAAAAGGAAGCAGGATTATGACGCCATCATGAAAAAGCTCTACGAGTACTGTGCATCACACCTCAATGAGCTTCATGAACGCTATAAACCGAGAATACAAGCCCAAGCCCCACCGCGGTGGTCTAGTGGCTAATGTACTCGGCTGCTCACCCGCAGCTTCGTAATCGAATATCGGCTGCGGTGGCTCTATTTCTGATGGAGGCGGAAATGTTGTATGTCCCGTGTTCTCAGATTTAGGTGCACGTTAAAAACCCCAAGTGGTCAAAAATTTTCGTAGCCCTTCACTACGGCTTTTCTCATAATCATATGGCGGTTTTGAAACGTTAAATCCTGCAAATCAATCAATACTAGCCCAATGTGAGCCAGCAGAGCAGTTTCTTAGAGCTATAAGGAAGTGAGCATAGTCTTGCAATTTTGGCAAAGCGGCTACTTTATAGGAGATACGATTGTGTTTGGCACTAATATTTTCAAAGTACACGAGGGAAGCTGCTGCGCTACAATAAGTTGACGTTGACGAAAGCCCCAGCAAGTCGGCAGGTCACAGTGGTTGTCAAACACGAACTCTGTAGCAGAGTGAACTAAGTCGACGCACTTAAAAAGGTTGCCTATCTTCGAACCTCGGACACCACTCGGCGACGCTATTGCAGAGAAAAGGGGCCACGACGCCGAAAGGCGACGTCAAGTAAAAGTGACCCAAGTGTGTTCCAGTGCCGTAATTGTGAAAAACGGCACCCGGGTTCATACTGCTCCACATTTAGGCGCATCTGTCAGTGGTGGGTTGGGATAAATGAATTAGCCATAAAACTAACAACCACAAAGAAATTGCGGAAGTCAAAAGCAGCAAATGCTTCAAAGTCATCGGCATCTCAGTCGTTAACCTGATAAGTTCAAGGAAAAGAGACCGACGAGGTGGTCGAGCCTAAATAGGCACTGTGCCCATGCCAATTTTCTACCAAACATCATGCATCAACGCCTCTAACCAAGAAACCAAATGAAACCTAGTAGCTATGTATTGCGTGCGTACGTAGGAGAGATCATTCAGCACTTTTGAAATCATGACAATGAAGGCCAAAATAGGCAACCAGTCTACTGCATGATTGTTTCGTGCGTGTGTGCTTGCGCGTGCGCGCGCGCAGGTGTGTGTGTGTGCGTGTGCGTGGTGTGTGTGTGTGTGTGTGTGTGTGTGCGTGTGTGTGTGTGTGTGTGTGCGTGCATGTGTGTGTGCGTGTGTGTGGGGGGGGGGTCGAAGATGGGACGTCCGATTCAGTGAGTCACTCGGCTTTTTCAACAATCTTTGCACCGGCAGCGGAATTCAATGGCTAAGTGTTCAGAGAATTTCCAGCAGTTTTGGCAGGAACTGGGCACCTTCAATGTCTCTACATGGTGTCATCTATACAGGTGCAGATGGCCCGGCCCGTGCCATCACCCTGCAAGAGATATTACGACAGGAAGTGAGCCGAATGCTCGAAGCAGGTATCATCCCAAAAATGGAGTAGCCGACAGACAGGGCGAGTTCTTTAGTACTTGTAAAAAATATAGTGGCGATCTAACAGTGTGAATGGAGCCCCGCCGTGATGATCTAGTGGCTAAGGTACTCGGCTGCTGACCCGCAGGTTGCGGGATTGAATCCAGGCTGCAGAGGCCGCATTTTTGATGGAGGCGAAAAGGCTCAGGCCCCTGTGCTCAGGTTTGGGTGCACGTTAAAGAACTCCAGGTGGTCGAAATTTCCAGAGCCCTCTACTACGGCGTCTCTCATAATTATATGGTGGTTTTGAGACGTTAAACTCTACATTTTAATCAATAAATCATTCATAAGTGTTCATGGATCCCAGGACAATAAGTAATTGCTAGAACTGCGAAGCCTAGGTGATCCACGATGAGAAGACATAGAGGCTAAGATGGTACGAGCGAAAATATTTTCTCCATTCGGTGCTGAGTCAGGATTCCATGAGATACATCTTGACGACGAGACAACAACAATTTGTCCGTTTTGGACTACTTTCAGGATCCATAGGTTTTTGAGGCTGCCACCCTGAATCCTCTTCTACTCCGAAGCGCACTAGCTATACCACAAGGAAGTTTTTTTTTTTTTAAAACATACAGCGTTCATATTTTTAAGCATTTTTACAAATGAGTTTGTTGTAGTTTTTTGTTGGTAAAAATTGCTCACCTCAACTTGCGCAAGAACTAAAAACGGTCATATTTCTTCTTTCTAGGGTCCATCACTCATTACGAGCTTCAAGTGAGAAATTCATCGCTTCAAATCATCCTTTATCGGCGTTGTTGGAATCACTTCTCCAAGGTCGCTGATTATAGCAGAGAACTTTACTATCCGCAGTGTCAGCACTTGGTCAGACTTGGAATCTGAACCTATCGGTTGCTGCAAGGACCCATTATCGAAAGACTACGTATTTCTCAAATGTACGATTTTGTTTCTTCTGTGCTGTCAGTGTAGAATCTTAATTGCCTAAATTGGCTAACCTCCCTGTCATTCCTCATTTATTCCTCCTCCTCCTCCTCATTGCCTAAATAAAACCGACCAAAAGTATTTGTTCTTTTACCCACATTTTATAAGTATAAAATCATATAACCCAAAGGTTTAGGCCTTATCTGGTCGGATCTATTGTTACAGAAGAAATGAAAATAGAAATATATCGGTATTTTTCTCCACGGAATTTCACAAATGAAAGTGAACTTTCGAAATGTGATCAACAATCAATTAGTTTTTCTGATTCATTTAATTGCTTTTAGGTTCATTGTTATCTAACTTATTACCATTATTACTATTATTGCAACAACGTAAAAGTGATGGCGTTCATGTAAACTTACCTGGAATTTCAAGAAAACGATGTTTGCGTCGTGTGCTCTAGGCACCAACTCGCCTCTTCTGAAGCTCATATGCAAGACAAATACTGCAGTTGATCATAGTGTGAATAAATACATGTTGTATAGAAAACATTTTGGTGCAGGCATAACAACCCTTGAGAGTACTGTTTTCGTCATGAGAATGAATAGGACGGTGTATCGACAAGCTGTTTTTCTGTAGCTACAGCTACATTGCAGCTAGAAGCCTGGCAACATATTTCTTTGGCAGGCTGCATCCACAAAGTTGGTGCGGGCGTTCAATAAAATCTTTTCAGTAAGACTGACCGTACCTATCACTACGCACACCTACACATTACAGGGTTTAGTCAGAGCCAATTGTTTGTTGTACAAACATAGTTGAGCCAACGCGATAAAAAGCAGAGGATAGCAAAGAGAACATTGGATATTTTAGCTGAAGTGTGCATAATAATGAAATAAACGAGTAGAAATTACTTCTGTCGTGCGTCATAATTACTACACTTACGTTTAAAGTTACCGAGGTCCCTACAAGGCTACAGTGGCTTCCACGCCTTTTGTGATTTCAGATGCGCTGTGTCTTGTAACACTAAACTGTTTATGCCGGGGTTCATCAGGCAGTCAGTGACGCACTTCCGTCACGGAAATGACATAAACAAAGACAGCAACAGAAGACAAAATTACTCTCAACGGGAATGGAACCAAGACCTCCAAGTCAACAAGGACAATTACCGGGCATGCCATCTACTGTGCCATGGTATTTCTTTTTTAATTTCAAGTTGGACGTTAAACAGAAGGGGTCAAGAGAAATGATTTACCATACACTGCGAAGATGACAGAGCAAGGCCTACAACGGCCGTAAAGCTCTGCTAATGGGCATGACGCCCCAAAACTCGTTCTTAGTCAGAATGGCTTCTACCCTTCATAACCATGAACGAACACAATAATTCTGTTCTTACTACGTTGAGAAACCTTGAAATGATTTCTTTGAAATACTGTCTTGCTGGTCTCCTATCAGGGTCAGAGCGAATTCTAGACATTCGAGAGCGTCATAAACTGTGCGCTACTGGTCATCAATGATGAAACACATGACAATTGTTCGTAATTATCTGTTGTAAATGCTTGATTTCATGAGGGTCTAACGGAACTTTCTTTTGATTCTCTATTGTACAACATCCCAAAAGCATTCTCTGTAGGCGTCAAAACACGTATTTTATATCTACCGCTGCCCTCTCACACTGCTCTTGTTAAACCTCAGTAATACAACATGACCGTGACGCCCATCATCAGTTCCTTAATACGTCGTTTCTGTGGATCCATACTGTTCGGTGTATATCCCATCGAAGCATTGTCAACGCCGTAACACACCTGCGAGGTGGTGGCCTTACTTAAAACGTTGACGTGACTCATAGCATTCAATCATACCGAAAATAGCTCTGCAACGCATAAATAAACACGACTGCTTCGTCGTGATATAGTAACCCCGCATTCTTTGCGTTTTCCACGCCTCACCAAAAATCCTGGTCGGCCAACAGAGAAGAAACAACGCGCTTGGCGTTTGCCTTTGTACGGGCAGTGGTGTTCGAAACTGAAACGTGCTGTGAGTAGGCGACCTTAGCCGAAAGTTGGTGTGCAATCAGCTCGCGCTTTTATGGCTGTCACACCACTTTCTTAGGTTCAGCTCTCACCGTTTACTACATCTCCCACAGACATCCATGACTGCAGGGGCATGTTTAGTCATTATTGAATCATTAAACTTGGAGATTATTTGTCGGTATTCAGATGCATAACGAAGTGACAGCATGGATGTATTCCCGTTAAACAGTGCTTCAGCTGTCCATCACTAGCAGACATTGTACAGGCTCTCCTATATAAAGTTCCGTAAACATAAAACTGCTGCTTCAGAGACACTTTTCACTTTCGTGTTTCATCGATTTATATGACAGAAAGATCAACCATATATTTTATCAGGTGTGCGTCTTTGTCATCAAAAAGGGCCCCACCGATGCCTATGAATTATACAATAACTACGCCAATGACTTTCAAGTTACCTAAAAAAACAACCTGCTTCACGAAAGTGTGTGTTCTACTGAATATATTGTGACAGAGGAGGTGAGAGGTGCAAGATTTATCTGCACATTCTCGTACAAGCGCCTGTGATCTGGGGCACACACGTGCCCTTGTTAAAGTGTTTTACTGGAGGACCTCTAGCGGCTTGAGGGAAGAGCTGGTGCTGTTCAAGAAGATGAACAAGCGCGTCGCATGTATGGCTGCTACTTTTCACGTGCGTATTGGTGGTGACAGGTCGTGCATAATTCAAGAATGAAGCCAATCACTTTTCTAAGAAGTTGAGGGCCTTTGCCCAAGTCGAACCATTTGGAAATGCTGAGTTAAAGTTTGTAATAGGACAAGAAAAGTACACGACGTGACACAATAGCGTAGTCGGCTTGCAGTGGGTGCATAATGTAATCTCAAATTTTGGCTGCATATCTCCCTGACGGGGACTTTCGTTGTTCACAGACTGAGACTAGAAAAAGCGCAAGACATCGACGATGACACGAAAAGAAAGTGAATGCTTGGATTAAGCTGTCAAAAACGTCCATACTGGCGCCCAGGACTTTCTCAATAACTAACTAAACTTTCTTCACAAAAGTAGGAGTTCTACTGGGGGTATTGTAATGATGCTAAAAGCATAGCAAACTTATCACACGAATTGACGTACTGGCGTACGGACCTATGAACTTCGTGTCAGCAGCAGCCACAGCATGTGCGACTGTACATATCAGAAGACTAAAGTGAGCCACGAATGATACACCGCCAGGTTAAGCGATAGTGCTTGTGCGCAACTGTTATGAAAGAATAAGGATTAGCTCAGTGCGTTCAGGTAAAACAGTAACAATTGACGACGATGTCATGCCATAATAACGTAAGCATATGGAGATGACATAGTACAAAGTTGATTCATGCAAAAGCTTTCATTCTACAGCATTTTTTCTTGGTTCATCACCGATGTGACTAAGGTGTAACACAGTACAAGCTGTTGTGGAGTTGCTGCACTCACATTTTGGTAGATCAAACTGATGACCAGAAAACCAATCTGTATCTCGAGGTAAACCAACATACATACTTTCCCAGTCATTAGTATTTTTCACTATAGATTCACAGTGAAAAAAGAGTTTTAACAGATTCAGTTATCTCCAAAAGGTAAACTTCTTATTTACGATGCCATATTTCATTCGCACACAAAGTACGTTACCCTCGCCTCAGAAAACATCATGCAAAAAAAAATAAATATAATGAAGCTGCAGAAGAACGCAACTTGGCATATCGCAGATGTTCCATACGATGCTCATACATTATTATTTTTTGCAACATTTAGCGTGCTTCAACTTGAACAGCTCTATGAGTTCAATCTGTTTGCTAAATACAAGCATGGCTTGAAGAGTAGAAGCAATTTTCTCACACTGTGTTACATAATAGAGTCACCGGCAGCATCCTACACCACCCCGCCGCGGTAGTCTAGTGGCTAAGGTACTCGGCTGCTAACCCGCAGGTCGCGGGATCGAATCCCGGCTGCGGCTGCTGCATTTCCGATGGAGGCAGAAATGTTGTAAGAACAAGTGCTCAGATTTGGGTGCACGTTAAAGAACCCCAGGTGGTAGAAATTTCCGGAGCCTCGCACTACGGCATCTCTTTTAATCATATGGTGGTTTTGGGACGTTACACCCTACATATCAAACAATCATTGAACGCCCTACACCAAAAAAAAGAAACATGACATATGTCGTTTGTTCGAACGAATTATGGTCCTAAAAGTCTGAATCATATAACGCCAAACCTAAACAACAAAGGTATTGGGTCTGATACGTGGACAAGCAAGAAGGGGAAAGAATGTTTAACTATCAACCCCAGACAGCGTCATTGAGTATAATCAATTAATCTCGAGTTCATCGCTCTGTGTGTTGGAAAAGTACCAGCTTCAAATTGATTTATTGATGTGGGGGATCAACGTCCCAAAACCAACATGTGATAATGAGAGACGCCGAAGTGGAGAGATTCGGAAATTTTGACCACCTGGGGTGCTTTACCATGCCCCCAAATCTGAGCACACGGGCGTCAGCATCTTCGCCTTCATCGAAAATGTAGCTGCTGCAGCCGGGATTGGATACCGTGACCTGCGGGTCAGCAGCCGAGTACCTATGTCACTAGACCACCGTGGCGGGCCTTTGTGTTGCATATAAGTTCTGCTTAGTTGTATTCGTTATTTTCTTCTTTCATACGTATACCTTATTTTTCAGTGATTTTTACACTGTATTTACATTTACAACTTGCTGATAATTTGCTTCTTTTTTGCTTGCTTGCATGTTGCTTGTTTGTACATAGTACTTTTGTTTGCTTGTATTTCTTTGCTTCTGAATGAGCATCTTTTTGTGGCCAAACTGTTTTTGCGTCAGAAATCTCGTCAAGCTGCTTTTTGGCAGCTTTTAATTCATGTCCTTGCATCTCTTTCACCATTTATTCTTATTTACATTATGTTGTGTTGACCATTGCCATCGTGTAAAAACATCAATTATTTTGCAACTGTAACATTGTCCTTCGGGACAATAGGTGAAAAATATTGCTAATGAAATGGAAGCTGAAATCGAAAGCCAGTATAAGATACGATGATCAGGGACTAGCGATAAGTCAGTCACCTTACTGGAGTACAAGAACAGAAAGGCAAATGATTGA